ATCGTATTAGGAGATTCTGCCATACTGTTTGAAAGTTTTAGTCCGTTAGTTTCCCTTTGTAAAGAACTAATTTGGTTAGGACCGAGGATTCTTAGTATTCTAGATGATGAAATGGAAAATTCATCAACTTCACACTTAGTGGTTTTCCATACTGTCTGATTTTCTGTTTTCTTTAAACAAAGGTAAACGTGATAGAAACAAACTACACATCCATAGGGGTTTTTCAAATCATTAACACCAAATTCAAGTAACTCTTGATATTCAGTCTTATTTCCTGATAATGAATTTCATCTTCAAGAGGATTCATCAAGTGGTTTCATATGTCTATTAGGGCTGTAGTTTAATTCGCTTAGCTTTGATTTCAGAATTGTTGTTTTCTTCCCGTATACAATCCTTGGAATCATTTGATGAGTAACTACGTTGAAAACATCAGTCCTAACTGAATAACTAAATTTATTAACAAACAGGCCCAGTATATGACTTCCAGAACTCAAAATATCACATACGTATATATATATATATATATATATATATATATATATATATATATATATATGCATATCAGTTCAGTGGTGACTGTCAGTGAATCCATGAGGAATAACTCGTCCAATGTGAATTTATCAGAATAATTTATGATAACTAAATGTAAAATAAATGTCTACACACGCTGATTAGTTGATATTTCAACTGTTTATGTGATCATAGTTTGTAATGTTTCTGGAAATATTACTAAAACTCTAAAATCTTATCATTATGTGTTAGAATTCGTTTTAAATTAATTTCCGTATAGTTAACTTATTCCGTAATGCAAAAACTCTTCGTTAATTTACCTGAAGTAGGTACAAGTACTCCAGTGAATGTAAAAATCCTTGTTGAAACTCAAACCCTTGATCTTAAATATCAAGGTGTCAATAGCTAATCTACTGGATTATTATAATTATCTCTTCCATTACTACTTACATTGGTAGCTGTTTTACATGCGATTTTCAACATTAAATGTTTTTATTAGCTATTTAAAGTTGAAACAATGAACTGTGCTATATTCTTAATGCGTCAATTCTTTAACCAGTGTCATTATGATTAAAGAACAGAAAATTCTCATACTTAGTTATTGAACAAAGATGTAACAGTAAAGAAATTTTTCTTTTCGGTCATTACATTCACTAGAGGTGAACAATCTAATTTATAACCATTAGAAGCGAATAACACTGTTCATTATTAATCGATAGGGTCACACATATAGCATAATTTTTAAGAGCAGAATAAAAAAGTTTCTAAGATAGAAGGAAACTACTACTCTGACCATGGTAGACCTGACGAATGCACTTAATATATCATAACAGGAACATCAGGTTTTAAGTTGTGAACTGTCAATGATTCTACTGTGCATAAATGACCTAGTTGAGGTTCTTTAGAATTTCAAAGAGGAGCTCTGAAAATTACTTCGAACGAACTTCTACAAGTTGCTCAAGATTAGAACTGTTGGGATTTTCTCTCCTCTGGTTAGCTTAGCTGGACAATACTTCAAAATACATTTACGTAGTGATGAATTAATTATCTACTGTAGAATATTATCCTCAGGCTAGCTGCGTCAAACGTCTACCTCAAAGATCTTGAGAGATGACTCTTGATGATTTCTGCTACAGTTTTATCATTAAATTCCAGATTCTTATAGAGATTTTTCTTCAAGATGGTCGATAACTCTTGTATTTGTGGCTTTTCTTAGTTAGCAGAGTCAATGAACCTAGGTGGATATTCATTTTCAGGAAGGATTTTACATGGATATTTTACCTCACTATCAACAGTGTCTTCAAAACACATTCTCCGAATCGTTGCGCATAAAGAACATGCAGAATTTTTGCTTACTAACGAGAGGGATAAGTTTGAAAGTTGATTAAACGTCTACTTTTTACATTAACTTTCTGAATAGAATTAGTAGCACATCCTGGAATAGATACACTGGATTTGTTTCCCAGTATTGAAAGTGTTAGGGGAACTTTTGAAATGAAACTCTTAATCACACATAAGAAGAAGGTCATCGACGTACTTTTTGTAAGAGCGTATTTGCCTGATTGGTCGATTAAGGCTTTGATAGAATCAATAAGAAGTTGACCAAGATGAGACTTCACTACGATATCATCTTTCTGTACATTCATTTCTTCGTATGACTCGAAATGAATGTTCGAAGTAACTCTGAGAAGTGGTTGTTCTAATTAGTTGAAAGGTATGGTAATATATAAATGGCTGAATTGGGTTGCATAAGGAGATAGTGTTTACAACGTGAGACACATCAAGAGGAAGCATCTGTTTCTTGAACATATCGAAATTTTCTACCGACTCAGTAATATCTAAGAAGTCCTTGAGGCTATATTTTTTCATATGCTTGTGCATTCTTCATGTTCAAGGACTCGGTAAATGTGTCTCGAAGATACACTAGATAGTGAGTTAAAATCTCAACGTAACTGTTTACTAGAAAAAAATTAATATCTACCTAGAATAATTGACTTTAACGCCAAAGTTATCGACCATTTCAAAGTAAAATCTCTTTCCTTCTATCGTACGTTTATGTACTATGACATTATTAATTCAGTAAATTAGACAACTATTGCTCATATCAGGTTTCTAGAAAAGTTACACTAAAATATAACAAAGCGGAACACAATAAGACACAAAAATCCTGAAATACTACTTTTTACTAATGATAAATACGATCTTTTTTGACTGCAAACAACTTTGAATCAAGAAGTTTATCGGAAACAACAAATCAAGAAATAAAATAGCTAAACTGTCTTCAGAAAAGACGAAGTTCGAACTTCAAAGCAGACCAATGAATCACAAGAATATGGAAACAACAGAGCACCTAAATAATCAAAAGCAAATTATATATATATATATATATATATATATATATATATATATATTTAAGGTTCTGGAGGCAAGAAAAAATGAAGATGGAAAATGGTTGATATTAGTATTGAACTTTCATATAAATGAGTCACTACTCGAACAACTGTATGAATTGGGAAGATTAGGAACGAATTCAAATCAGTGAATGCAAATCGTTGAAGAAATAATCGTCAAAGGCTACATAAAATTTAAAAAAACAGTTATCAAGGCAATACGAGGCTTATCATACCGTCTTTCGTATACAAAGATCAGGGTGTAGTCGTTCGATCGAAATAACTTTTGCAAAACAAACTAAACTGACCGTTATTTGTACACCGATTGTTTTAAAGGACTTACTAGACTTGACTGGATGGATTTCTTCAGTCATGTGAATGATAATCGTGATTTTAAAAATCATCTTACTTTCAAGATGTAAGTTTTTCAGGATGTCCAAAAACCAAGTATTTTTCCCTACTGTTAGTCCTTTGTTTATATGGGATACCGTAATCTAATGTAAATTTATAAATGGCATTGGATATGATATGAGCAAGGTACTTATCTGCTTTGAATTGAGTAGTGACCTGTTTATGGTGTATGTTGGGACCAGTATGGATGCAGGGGAGATCCTTTCCAATGCTTCTTTGACCTTTTTTCCTTGACATTTGTTATTTTAGACAGTATTCTTTAAACAGTGGGCTAAGTCAAATTTGAAGTGAGATTGGATTAGTGGTCAGGCCTTTCCTGAAGGCTTACCCGAAAGAAAGCAGGGGATATGATCTGCCCATTGCTTCCTTAAAACCTGAACCAATACTAAAGTTTTGTTTGAAATTTAAGTCAACATCCGTGTATTAATGACATAAACCGATAATAAGAAATGTAAAACATTGTTTTCGAAATTGGTAATTACGCTGACGCCATGGTCACTAGGCACTCATTCAGGAGGTCGATTGCATAGTTTCAGGAAAGAACCCCAAGTCAGTTCAGGTGGTTGTGAAGCTACTTCATTTGAGATAGATGGGACATGATGGAACAAGGTGGCATCCTTATAAAACTGTGAATAAAATAGAAACGTATTGGGAAAACATAAGCTAAATAGACTAAAAGGCTTCTAAAGTCTTTGACATGCCTGATCATTTTATACGTCTTGAAGAAATCATTATGCCCCATTGCAGACGTTTCCAAGTTATTGAAAATCAGTTGTCAGATGCCCTGGGTTACATCAACTGACGTTGAGAATAGTGCTGCGGAGATGTTGACTCTTTTTTCATTAAAATTTTGAATATCTTTCTATTCTTCATTTATTTGTTTCTCACTAACATGTTCTCTTAGTTTACTATGATGTTTTGTTATTTGGATGGAAGCAAACGGCAAGAATCCATGCACCTAGGTTTCGCCCTTGTTGGCACCCGTTAGTAAGGCGCATCTCTAACCTCGATGGAACTGACATCCCGCCTGGGATTCGAATGTATATCACTCAGTGCTACAGTCACAGATATTACCACTGAGCTATTCGGGCCATGACTGACCTCTCTTAAGATTAGGTGCATTAATTGGCCATCCGACGGTATTCTACTTCATCTTGTCTCACCATAAGTGCTGATCGAATTGGATCTATCACTAGGTGATTTGGGCTCAATTCTTCGAGGAGACATAAATTCCATCGAGGTTGCAGGCACACGCTACCAAATAGAGCCAACAAACACGAAATCTAGGTCCAGGGCTTCTTGATGACTGCCTTCATTCGACCAACATATGTCTCAGTGCATCGCAATGATGAGTTTCTTAGATTAGTGACTATATCGCAGAAATGATCGACAGAATTTGATCAGCACTTGAAACTAAGTGACGTGAAGTTGGTTACCCTTTAGGGACCAATCAGTGTACTTTGATATTTCGCTTGTCATCATTACTAACTTCTAATTTGTGTACTGCTTCAAAATGTACCAATTTTATTTTTGTCTGTACCTGCCTGTATACATGTATAAATATCACAATAATACCAGCTTCCTATACCCAGGAAATAGAATCGTTCTTGAATTAAGTGTTATTTCTTCGTAAATTTTCATTTTATTTCCTTTGCTAATTAGACAATCTTTATCTAACATGTTATTTAGTCAGGATCTGCATACACCTATACATATGTGGCAAGTGGAGAATTCCTTGCGTTTATTGTTGGATGGTCAATGATCTTAGAATATGTTCTGTCTGTATCAAGTGTTGCACGTGGTTGGAGTGGAACAGTTGATGCAATGACGCAACATGCAATAAGTAATGGAACAAAAATACTATTGGAAGGTAATTTTTATGCTTGTATTGTACACCTTTTTATGTTTAATATACTGTTCATCTAAGTGTTGAAGACTTCTCGTAAATTTTCATGTTCTTTCCTAAATTCATTAATATCAACTAGTAACTATCAGAGTATGTATTTGAGGAGCGTTAAAATAATAAATCAGCTGTTTAGTAGGCTACTATTTTGATGGTTTTAGATTGCGTAGCAAGATTCTTTTTCAGCTTACTGGAGATAGTGATTATTATTATTATCAGGCATTAGAAAACAGCTTTCTTTCAGCTGTCCCCAGTACTGTGAGCTGAAATATGCTGAGGCTTGTGGTAAATAGACTATATGAAAAATACTGATTGCAGAATGCACTTTGTGCCAAACAGTTAGTCAAATTCATTCATTCGTAGGTTACCCCGGAAGCATTACTTATCGAAAGGTCTGATAAATGAGGTTTCTGAAAGAAACCCTTTTGTTACAGATGTGTAGGGATAGAACTTTTACCTCTATCAAGTATTTTAGAGAGAAAAGTCTTGACGAAACTTAGTAAGTCTGAGAACTGGTTAAGTGTGTTTATACTGCATCTACCACACCATAGGACAATGGCATTCTTATATTTACTCAAAACTAACTACACTTCAAAATAAGAAATGGGTGGAGCTAGGGTTTGTTAGTCTAGATACTTGACTTTCAACCAATGTGTCGTGATTTGGTTCCTTGTTTCAGCTATCAAGGTCTGCGCAGCTAGACAGTACACGTGGTTGCTGAACTTCCTTTCTGAATTTTTATTTTCTTGATATAAAGCGGAATGCAGCTTTGTGAACGGATGTATTTTTAATGATATCTTCACTAGGAAGTCTATTTCTCAAGTCTAGTACACTTTCGAAGCGTTCAACCACAAGTTTTCACACTTAATTTGTAAGTCATAGTAAACTGGGTCAACCACGATCAGTAATATTCATTGGGATTATCCTATGACCACAATTTTATATATTTACCTATCTGGACAGGAGTAAGTTAATTTTTAGACACATGTTGAAGTGTTCCAAAGTGGCGAATTGTCCTTAACAAACCCCGAAACCATTTGTTGACTAGAGAAGTTGATGTATGGCTTCGCGAGTAAGAACGTCTTCTTCAGCTATTTGGATAGCAGATTCTTCAAGATTTCCGCTGCTAAATCATTTTTGAAACCAACTATCAACCTCTTACTATGGTTTGAACATACAATTCTTCTGATTTCATAATGATTAGTTAGTTTATCATTATCACCTTGATGATGACCCTTGTTTCTTTCTTCAACTTCTGTATATCTATCGTGTGAGCACTCAGTCATCGTATTTCACACTTACCAACAATTTTCACCTTGTAAAACTCCTTGCCTTTCCTGTAACTTGCATTGTTCAAAAGATTACTATACAACTTGTGTCCAGTCTTGACGAAACTGCGCCCTATTGTTCAGTAATAGATTGTTATATGTTTGTAATATGTACAAATAGGATTGAACAGCTTTCGAAAAAAATATCGTCGAACAAGGAAATTTTCTTCTCTGAATTCCATTATTTTATTGTATTTCATCTCTGTTGTAAACGGGATTGGATATTCATAAAATTTTCCGACAAAAATGTAGGAGAAAAATAAAATTTCATCAAAACAAAAGTTAAAAGGAAACTGTTAATAAACTTCTGTGTATAACAGACTTTATTGATTACTTTTCTGTAAGTGTTTATAGCCAAATTGATGGAAATCTAATTAACATTGCACAAGTTTTTAATCTAGATATTCGACAAAAAACTAGGCATAGTTGCAGTTATGTTTTCCCGTTTGTTTGGATTGGTTAATTCACTGAATAGAACAGAGAAATACGTTTAAAAAAGTAGAAAAGGGAAACAATGCATGTAAGGATAGCATTCAGTGACTGCTGTAACAGCAATTAGCAGTTCAATCTACTATTTCCAGTAATAAAAGATGAAGTCAGTAGCCTTGAGATTATTTGCGCTAATCGATGCATAACAGGGTTTTTTTGTAAACTAGATCCGATGATAACTATTTCACTTGTAAGTAGTAATTTTTAGGTGACTCTAAAGGCCATCCCAGCAACAATCGAAATAAACAATTAGGTTTCTTCATTTTGGTTGGAAAGGCAAACTTTCATAAAATAGAGTAGTTTGATTGATTACTTCAGTTGTTGCTAGGATGGCTTTCTGAACCACTAATTTTTCTTTCTTGGTGCACATAAAGGTTTTTTTAGTAATCACTTCTATCTAGTGAAGGTTTGATCCAGCCGGTATGTTTCCAAGGGTGACTTTAAAGGCCACCCTAACTACTGCCAAAATTATCAATCAGACTGCAGTATTTTGGTTGGGAAGACAATTTTTCTCAGGATAGAGAAACGTGATTGGTTGTTTCATCAGTTGCTAGAGTGGTCTTTGAAGTCACTCATGAAAAACGAGCAACTTTAAGGGTGACTTTAAAGGCCACTCTAGCAACAGATGAAATAATCAATCAGACTACTCTATTTTATGAAAATCTGCCTTTCCATACGAAGTGAAGTAACTTGATTGGTTACTTCAATCGTTGCTAGAGTGGCCTTTTAAGTCGCCGTTTTTCATACTTGTTTATAAACCAAGCATTGTCGCCCCATAGGTGTTTTCGACACAGGATTAATAACAATCACGGTAAACAGTTTAACCTTAATCCACTAACTGTGATGCAATCAGCCTTGTAGTTCACCTTAACCACACAGAAAAGATGGATATTACATTACAAAACACACGACCTCTTAATTCTACCATTAGTTGTATTTCTGTCAATATGTTCCATGAAACTTTGACTAAGTAGGTCTTTACAAGCCACTAAATAGTTTATTGATAAAATCATGAAATTTCGTAAAATTATGAAAAGTTAAGTGAAATCTCTTGTGAATGTCAAGATCATAAAGTCAAAATATTTCTATAACTTTTGACTGTAGAATTGAAGTTAATTTGGTTCATACCATATCTCATTTTACAGAAATACCCTATGAAACTCATCTAGACAGCATAACGTATTATGCTCAAAGCGAGTTTGATCAACAAGTTTCACTCATTGCATATTAGTTACTTTATACATTGGCATAATTTGCTACTTGATGTTACTCAATTTCAACTCGTTTACCGATTATTTCCCTTAATTCAGTTTTATATAACGTTAGTTTAAGCCACGACTTCAGTGTAATACCATCTCTCTCTACACTATTCTGTTGGTATGCATTCTGATGCACCTTCCTACTATTTGTTTACAACCATCTGTTTTGGATAAATTCACCGGAATCCAACCTTATACCTAAATGACAAACAGCAGTAAGGTCTATTATTTTTATTATTATTTGTCGTTTGTGTTCCTAGTGGAACATTAGGCTTCAGTAGCACGTCTCCATTGTACTCTATCCTCTGCAGTCTTTTCAACCTCGCTCCACCACTCCCCACAAGCTTTCATTTATTCCTCACACGATCTCCTCCATGTCACCCTCGGACGTCCAACTCGTCGTTTATCATTTGGGCTCCACTCGACGGCCTGGTCCAGCATGGAACGTGACGTCCCCAAACAGTCTTCTCAGTGTATGTCCAATCCAATCCATCTCCACTTTCTTCTGCATACTTGTTGTGTGATAGATTTTTGGTTGGTTTGTTGACAGCCAACTAGAGTTCCTTGTTGCTTATCCTCATTCTTCAGTATCAAGCCAGCGAAGGCGGCAGCTGTTGATGTGATGTGATGTTTGTACATAGCAGTTTGTTGGAAATGCTTTTCGTAAGGCGCCAAGTCTCTCAACCATCACATAGAAGAACTGACTTGACATTGGTGTTGAGAAATCCAGATGTTGTTCACGCTTTATGCTGAGTGCAGTAGATCTCCACACTGATTTCAGATTAATGAAGGTCTGTCTTGCTTTGCCTATCTTGGCTTTGACGTCGTCATCTGTGCCGTCTGTAGTTGACAGGATGCTGTCTAGGTAGGTGAAAGAGACTACTTAGTTTAGGTTGATTGGTGCTTGTTGTTGTTGTTGTTGGTGGTGGTGGTTGAATATCTTCATCACCTCTGTCTTCTTCACATTCACTTGAAGTCCTGTGGTTCAGGAATGATGAATTTAACGCAATAAGAAGTTTCATCTTACAACGCAAGTCATCAGTGAACACAAATTCAGAAGACTCACATTGCGTAGTTTATAGAACTCGGAGGAATCTTTAAAAAAAGGTGCAAGCAAACGTCTATTATGCATTGGTGAGGCTTTAACAATATTCAAGTCAAAGCCAGAATTGTACGTTTCTAAGTACTCTTTCCGTTCACTCTCCTTATTAAAAACATAAATCCTTAAACCTAACCAACACCTCTTATCGTTTACGTTTTAAATAACTGGTTGACAAAGATTGATACTCTTTTATTATTAAATATACACACTAATTTTTAGTTTAAATATGTTTGTACAGCTTATGAAAGTGATATTACAGGAAAATATATGCTCACTGAAGTCTTTCTTTTTTTTATTACTCGTGTGGAATGCTCATATCTTGACATTGTTTGAATCAAGATTGTCCAGAAAAAAGCATGAAAGCATGATAAAACAGTTTACCAGTGTTTCTTCGTTATCAAGTATTACTTTATTAGTAAAGTTATTTTCAATCATTTTTGATACAACTACATATTGTTTCTGTTTATCATTCTCATTCTTGTTCTCAAAGCTTTATTCAGTAGAGTGAGTTAATATAATACCCATTAAGTATTTCACTACTATTTGAAATCAATAAGCTATTCATAGTAGATTGATATTTAGGTTATCAAATTTAATGATCAATAGTTTTGTAGACAGACACGCAACCCCTTAGACTAGGCTGATATATTAATAGATTCGATAACCAATCACTGTTAACCTGGGATTATTGAATGAGGAGATATTTCTGTATGGACATGTGTATCTATTTTCTTGACTGCAAGTGAGACCACTTGATCAAACCCATCCACAAGTCACCTGTAAAACAGTCATTCATTCATATGTCTCTAATAGCATACAACAAGCAGAACGATTAATTTTTACATTCTAAATACAACATACAATAGATGGCCAAAATATACAACTAGATGTATTCAACAGCCAACGAGCTCTCACTATATGTATGTGTTTTTAAACATAAACCAATGCGATTCAAATGATGAACGAATGCAATTAACTGTTTCCATTTGAAATTATCATTCGTGCATTTTTTAGGTTGCATTGGGAAATTACTTGGTTTGCCATTTTCTATCATCCAAATGTCTGGTTAACCCTTCATTTGTATTAGTGAATAAAAAGTTAGTGTCTAAAACATCTTTGCACTATAAACATTTCGTAATTCATCTTGTTATTCCCAGAAACTAGCAACAGCTAAGAGCTATCGTACTCCGCTTCGGTAATATTAAGGAAACTGTTACCGAAAAAGTGTGTAGTAGCTAGCAAGAGAAATGTGTGATACTAAGTTGGAATATTTGTCTACGGTTCACGCTGGAGATAAAAAGCGCTTATTGACGAGTACTTTGGTGCCTTATCTTTTGATAAGACAAGAATCGGATTTAATTTTAGAGTCAAATCAAATGTAATCCTCACACAGTTCTTCCCTTTCATGAATTTGAACAAAGCAATAAGAACAATGGTAGCAGAATTAAGCTAGATGAATTTCGTGGATTCTCCTCAGCCGCTGTAAAACTTATATAATGTTTGCCATAAAAACATGTTTTACAACGTACCTTCATTAATCTGCAAGAATGTTTCGATTGAGATGGAAGGTAACGAGAATTTTGGTTGAGTGAGGTTTGTGAAGCCTTTAAGACTACTCAATGATGGAATAAACATTCTTGAGAAGATAGTAATACATATACACATGGTTACCCACAAAAGTTTATTGATAAGTAGAGGAGGACAGAAGTGAAAGGAATCAAGTGTGATGCAGTTGACAAGACATCCGACTATCTACACTTTGCCTTCAAATGGGATAAAATCACCACACGGTTGAATCGTTGACTGAGTTCTGTACTAAACGTTACGTATTCAGCCATCAAGTTAGTCTGTGTGTACTAGTTCAAACGCTCATTGTGACAATCTAAAGTGGCTAAAGCCCCAACTGTTGTTACTTACAAGTGCATTCACCAATTCGCATGTACGTGGCAAAGCATATAGATTGGAAGGACTGAGAAAAGCATTATTATCCGCATTTCTGAATATATCTGGGAAGATTTAGAGCTTTTGCTGGGCATTAACTTGATACTAGACATAAAGTCGATGTATTAAAGCCGTTTGAAGTGATCAATAAACAAAAGAAAAGCTAACACTTTTGTAGCATGCAGAAGCAGTCCCAATTAAAAGACTCAAATTTGATTGGTGTATTCAGGAAGAAACTATTGTCAATCGTGCTTTGCCTTAGCGAAATTCATGACCTCATGACCCTTTTTCCCTTTTATTTTCAGTCTGTTTTAAAACCTCTCACTTTTTGAGTTGTATTCATCTTATTAGTCACTAAAATGAAGATCTGTTGACCTGTCTTTGTGCTTACTGAACCATGATGTCATTTTCTTCACTTCCTGACTAGCATTGTGCATGACCCCATCCCGTATATATATATATATATATATATATATATATATATATATATATATATATATATATATATATATATATATATAGTCTGCTACCTCCTCTTGAATGTTCATTCCATCATTGAGTAGTCTTAAAAGCTTCACAAATCTCACTCAACCAAAATCCTTGTTACCTTTCATCTTATTCGAAATATTCTTGTAGAATGATGAAAGTACGTTGTAAAACATGTTTTTATGGCAAACATTATAAGTTTTACAGCGGCTGAGGAGGATCCACGAAGCACATGTATGCTAATTCTGCTACCATTGTTCTTCTTGCTTTATTCAACTATAGCTTTCCGGATATGATGAAGAATTTTCCTCCCACTACTTTATTCCATTGAGAGAATTTCAACAGTACTCCAACTACTTGCCTACACTTCATATTTGGCTGAAGCTAACTTGTTACTGCTGTATTTCGGTATGATCCCTTTAAATTTCTTCTTCTGACTAATGGATCATCTGGCGGATCACATCTTGTGTTAGATATAGCATTTTGTGAACTCCAGTCATATATATTTCGTGCTAAGCTTGTCGAATTATGGTCAGTTACACACACAAAATAAGTTTACCATGCTTATCAATAAGTTGTTGGTAATTTTTTATAAGATTTCAGTTACAATTATTAAATGATTGTATCGAATTGATATAAGGACACTGCAATGCTTAAGTATATTATTCATTCTGGTTTTGATTTCTGTTTTTATTCCTATAGTTTTCCTTCCCATGTGGAGTTTCTTGGTGACTATCCGGATTTCATTGGTGCTTTGCTAATCATTGTACTTGGCCTAGTATTATTTCGTGGTCCAAAATTATCAGCCATGTTAAACACTGTGATAACATTGTTAAATTTAGTGGTAATTATTTTAGCCACTTGTGTCATGTTTTCACAACCGAATAAACATGGTTCAAAGTTCGCACCAGCTGATCATGGAGGTCTATTTCCATATGGATTTGGAGGTATGATTGGTGGTGCTGGAACGTGTTTCTATGCATTTATTGGCTTTGATGCTATTACAGTCAGTAGTGAAGAAGCCTTGAATCCGAAAAGATCAATGCCTATTGCCACTGGTGTATCAGTCGGTGTAGTTACACTTTTATTCTTATTGGCCAGCTTAGCTTTAACACTGTTTGTACCCTGGTGGACAGTGGATAGGCAAGCAGCGTTTACAGCTGCTTTTCATGTTCGAAATTATGAATGGGCTACATATATAACAGGAATCGGTTCATTGCTTGGATTGAGTGCAAGTTTATTCACTAGTATGTATGCAATGCCAAGAGTTGTTTACGCTATGGCTAGTGATGGTTTATTGCCTAAATTCCTCGGCTATCTATTACCATCTACACAAGTAAGTTATGAATATCATATTATTTACTATGGACACAAATAGAAATTATTTACTTTCTTCAAACAGATGTTTATATGGTAATTTGCTGGATTATTTTAGTCATTTAAGTTAGGTTGTATGACCTTTTTGTGATTTTCTTATCAACAAAAGGACTTGAGAAATGCTGAATTATTAAACTTAATCAGTATTCAAGCATAATGAACTGAGGAAAACAATTCCTCTTTTGTTTTTAAACAGACTGATTAGGCAAATGACTTGGTTTCTAGTGACATTTTCACTTCAGTTATGTATTTATCTCAAATAATGGAAAATCCCAAAATTTTAAATGGTTTATAGGGTCAAAAATTTACTAAATAAAAAGTCTAACTTAGAGTGATAGTTTTATTATAAGCAAGGTATTCCGTTAATCATTTTTGCAAACGATTAAATCGAAACTACATTTCGCTGTGCGTATTAGATGTATAGAATATGTAGACGATGTTATTTGCTGGATAATATTTCCATCGAAACTTATTGCCCATAGTCCTATCACGATAGCACTATACGTTTTTTGTACTTCTAATATGGTCCGACGAAAGAAACGAACGAAACGCACTCAGCCACCATGTGTACATCCGTTAAGTAGGCGATGAAACACATCTATTGTGTGAAAGATAGTGATACTATCTGGCTGAGCGGGGTTCGAACCCGTGACTCACTACTTGTCGGTCATCTTCCTTAACCAGTGAGCCACAGCTCTACCCAATACGGTTTACTTCTTGTCGTCTGTGTAGTATAATTCTTTCAATGCTGAGTTATTCCTGTTGTCTGTTCTTAAAGATTGTTCCATCAGCAAAGCCCTAATTAGCAATTTTTCCCTCTAATGAAGTGAGATTTTAGGGTATCGCACTGTGCCTATCCTTTTTGTGTTGTTGTGCGAAGTATACGCATAACTGTTGCTGCTTTTTTATAGATTCTTTGTCTTACTTGGGCTCACTACTCTATATTTAGCTAGGCTTCTATGGTTCAATAACTTGCTTATCTCTTTTGGGCTAATTCTATCTTATCCTTTCAAAAAATTCAAAACTCTAAATTATTTTGCTCAATAGTTTCAGTAGGATCTTTCAACCAAAAAGATTTGCTTTCCAATGGGTCTGTGGATTTTAACTCCACTCTAATCGCAGCATTGTTGAGGTTTCCACATAAGGTTTTTGATACTCCTTTCTAATATGGCAGTGCTCTGGCTATATTTAATTACCTCCTAGCAATGTTTCCGATATTTGTGCCCTTAGTATCATTTCACATTGTAATTTTGTATTACTTCTAACGCAATTCTGGATGAACCCACTGGAGTAGTTATGGTCCAGTAACCTTCCTTTCAGACAACTTATTTCTTTACGTATATTTTCTGACAATGGTTAGCAGGACGAGTAAGCTGGCGGTTAAACTAGAAGATTTTGGGAACAACTCCATAATCAGGTGAAAGTTAGTAGTATTCGTAAAAACTAGTTTGGTTGATAACCGAAGCTTTATTCATAGGATCATCTTCAGAAATAGACAATAATAATAATTCAGCGTATATTCCAGATATCTTGAAAACTCTGCCACTATACACAATGAATAAGTTCACGGTATAAGAACTACACAAAATTCAGGTCGCAGAGTTATGGAGTTATCGTGACAACACTAGGGAAAATAAATTTTATCCGAAATATCATCCTGTAAATAAGCTCGTTTTCCTGTATTACGCCGTCTTCAATAAAATGGCTAGAATAAAAATAGTTGTCATCGATTTTTATTGAAACGATGACCATCATAAAGCTATTCAACTCACTAGAGCTCCTAGTTATAGATAGTAGGTAGGTCACTACTCAAGAAGTGTCGAACAAACTTAGCAAATACTATTGATCAAGGTATTAATTTTGGTCAAAAGGTCAAGTAACATCATGCTATAGTACAAATTTATCTAACATTGGGTTTCCAAGGCTACTTGACAGGTATTGTTTTGAATAGTTTTCGAATATATAGCCAACCAGCAGCCTGGAAACTGTAACTTTTATCCGTCTTGTCAAGTTTCCATCTAGCTTCCCCAAGATTTTAATATGCCCAACGTAAACCACTGATTGGCTATTTGAGGGTAACCAACTTGATGTAGTCTAGTCCTAAGTGCTAGTAGAATTCTGTCGATTATTTTGCAATGTGGCCACCAGGCTGAGAGGCTGCCTATCACAATGCAGTGAGACAGATATTAGCTGGATGGGTGTAGTCAGCAGGAAGCCCTGAACCTAGGTTTTGTGCTTTTTGGGAATTCTCACAACGGCATGTCTTCAACCTCTATAGAAATAATGCCTTGCAGCCATTTGATATCATTCTACTCCATTGGTTACTGTTAACCAACTAACCTGTGCTATTTTCGCGTTTGATTTATCTAAGAACAGATTCTGAAGACTCTTTTATTATTCATTATTTGTCTCTTGGGTTAGGAATTCAATTGCACGTCTCCATTGTATTCTCTCCTCTGCAGTCTTTTCGACCTCGCTCCACCACTCCCCACAAGCTTTCATTTATTCCTCACACGATCTCCTCCATGTCACCCTCGGACGCCCAACTCGTCGTTTACCATTTGGGCTCCACTCGACGGCCTGGTCCAGCATGGAACGTGACGTCCCCAAACAGTCTTCTCAGTGTATGTCCAATCCAATCCATCTCCACTTTCTTCTGCATACTTGTTGTGTGATAGATTTTTGGTTGGTTTGTTGACAGCCAACTAGAGTTCCTTGTTGCTTATCCTCATTCTCCAGTATCAAGCCAGCGTAGGCGGCAGCTGTTGATGTGATGTGATGTTTGTACATAGCAGTTTGTTGGAAACGCTTTTCATAAGGCGCCAAGTCTCTCAACCATCACATAGAAGAACTGACTTGACGTGGTGTTGAGAAATCCAGATGTTGTTCACGCTTTATGCTGAGTGCAGTAGATCTCCACACTGATTTCAGATTAATGAAGGTCTGTCTTGCTTTGCCTATCTTGGCTTTGACGTCGTCATCTGTGCCGTCTGTAGTTGACAGGATGCTGTCTAGGTAGGTGAAAGAGACTACTTAGTTTAGGTTGATTGGTACTTGTTGTTGTTGTTGTTGTTGTTGGTGGTGGTGGTGGTGGTGGTGGTGGTTGAATATCTTCATCACCTCTGTCTTCTTTACATTCACTTGAAGTCCTGTCTTTGCTGCCCTGCCTCTACTGTCAACTTGTTGGTTTTTGCCCGTAGATCTTCGAGTTTGTGTGACATTAGACATAAATCATCGTCGTTGGCGAAATCCTTATCTTCTAGGGTCTTTCAGTCGCATCGGTCAAACAGCTTATACCCCTCTTCTCTCTGCTTACAGTTTGTTGCATGATCAAGTGGACCATAATCAAGAAGATCATCGGTAGTAGTAGGCGGCAAACTTGTCTTACTCTTGTCTTCACTTCAAAGGCGTCATTGAACTTTCCATTGTAAATCACTTGGCATGTGGCGTCCAAATAGTTGTTGAATCAGGTTTATAAAGGCTTGTAGCACTAAAACCGTAGTGTTGAAGTAGTTGCCAAATTACTTCTCGGTCGATACTGTCGAAATTCTTTGCAAAGTTGATGAAGTTGAGGTAGAGAGCTGACTGCCATTCTATGCTCTGTTCTATCGTGATGAGTAGCGTAGCGTTGTAATTTGATCCCCACATGATTTGTACTTCATGTAGCCATCCAGCCTGTTCTGGTAGTAATTTTGCATCCAGAGCATACTTTAGTCTCTCCAAGATGATGTGGCTTAATATTTTGCTTCGGGTGAACAAAAGCATGATTCCGACGCAGTTCTTGTAAAGACTTGGGCCGCCCTTCTTTGGAAGTTTGAAAAGATAGTCGTTCTTCCAATCAATAGGCAGGTACCTTTTCTTCCTTTCTTGCAAACCTTCTGCAATAGTGGTGCAAACGCATCCGCTGTTGTCCCTGCGTCGGCTTTCAGTGCCTCTGGAGGAATTCCACCCCGTCCTACTAATTTCTCGGATTTCAGCAACTTTATGGCATTCAGGACCTCGACTTTCGTTGGAATTCTCATGTTAACTGGTAATTCTGCTATCGCTGGTGATATTTATGGATGATGCAGATAGTGGTCAATTCAAGAGTTTATTGAAGTGGTCATTCCATCGTCTCGTTTATTTCACCTCTCTCTTTAGTAACTAGGTTTTCTTCACCATCTTTCATTAGTTTCATCTGCGTTGATCTCTCCCCTGCCAGATAGTAACCTGGCCATTTGATACAATATTGTCAGGTCTATTCAACCTGCAACCTGTTCTGCTTCATTTACTAGTGAGTCGTAGAAGTGTCTTATGTCTTTGCGCGTACTCCTCTTCACTTCTTTGTCCAGTGTGGTGTTTTATAGGTTGTGTTCAATTGCTATTCTCGTTGTTCATACTTGCAGTGATTTATCTTCCATTTCACCTACTTCTCCTCTGTCACCTTCCATGTGTTTGTCGGAATCCATTACTTGTCTTCTTTCTCCTTCCTTCCTAACAAAATTATGCAGATTTCCTTCCACATCTCTTTCAAAGAGTTCCAGTGTTCTTCCATGCAGGTTTCTTCAAACGTGTTGATCGATATCTCCCATTTCGTCTTAATGGCTGACGTGAACATTTCCTTTGTGGTTTCATCCTTCACTTTCTGTTCTGGGTGTTGGACATGAACTGTGGTCTATCTTCACCAGCTTCTTTGAAGGCTTTCAACTTGATTTCGAAGGGTCCTTGCACTGGATATCACGTGGTCTGAAACTACATCTGCTTCCCTTCCCTGATGTTGTGTCCAGTAGGCTGAGTCTCCACTTTCTTCACATTGAGATGAAGTCGATCTGATTTCTAGTGTAGTGTGTCTGGTGTTTGGTGAAATCAAATCCATATCGGTCGCTCTGTGGATATCCTCGTGCTTGAACACAGTGCCTCCAACCACCAAATCGTTGAATGCGCAGAATTCCTGTTCATTTCATCGAGTGCTTCTCTACCCATGATGAGTTCTCTTCCTGTGTTGTCCGCTCCCAGTTTGGCATTCATGTCACTGATTAGAATTTTGATGTCGCCACCTGGGACGGGGTCCCGTCTAGTGTTGATTGCAGTTGTTTGTAGAATGCCTCCTTCTTCTCTTGATCTGCATTATTTGTAGCTGCGTAGCGTAGCATTTTATGACTGTGACTCTCCTTCCTTTTGAGTTGAATCCATCTTGCTGTCATGATCCTGGAGGAGGAGATTGGTTCCCACTGCATGGGAACCTTCGATGCTCTTAGCGACATCATGATAGCCACTCGAAAACTCAGTGGGCTCGTGGTTGTCGTCTGTGTGACGATATCGGAGTAGATTACTGACTCTCCAGTTGACAGTTTGGAGAGTCCACTTCCATTCCATCTGCAGATTCCTAGCACTTCTGTGCCATACCTTCTCATCTGTTTTGCAACCTGACCAAACTTGCTAGGTTCAAACATTGTTCGGACATTTCATGTTCCTGTGTTTACTTTTGCTTTAATCGGGAGAAGAGAAGACACATCGGCCAATTGGCTTTGTGAGGGCTTTCATCAACTGGCGTCATTTCACCTCTCTGATTCCAGTGAGGGATAAGTTTGTTTTTGTGTTTTATATTTTGTCTGTGCTTTGAAGTTTCTGTAGTGGTTGGATTGGTTTTACGGTGTAGGGTTTCTGGCCGTATGCCCAACCTTCCGTGTTTGCCCGGACTTCAGACCGGCTAGTAACTAGTGAACTCGTTAACTAGGAGAGGTTTCTGAAGGCTTTGGTAGAGTATTATTCAATGTTAGTTTTAATATATAATGAATCCAGCAAATAATCCTATTTCACTTTATGATGTGTCGAACATACAAAATAACATGAAATTCTATTGTGGAAACTCGCTGAACAGAAATTTGTCCAGTGTCTATCTTCCGACGCCAGTATTTTATCTTTATTGTATACATCGAGTAAGATTCAGGCAAATGAAAATCAGTATCATAAAACCTAATATTGTTATTAAGTAACAATTAATGTGATTTACTATTTTGCTAGACTAATGTTACCGAAACTAACACAAAGTGAACTAAATTATAATCTTTCTGAACAGGTACCAGTTGTTGCACTCAGTTTGTTTGGAATATTCGCTGCTATACTGACTCTTTTATGTGATATTCATTTATTGGCTGACTTTCTGAGCATTGGAACATTGATTGCTTATACAATTGTCTCTATGAATGTGTGTATACTACGCTATTGTCAACCACAACTTTATTCTGGCCAGTGGAGTGAATTAGAATCAAGTGAAGGGGTAACTTTTATTTTGTATTTGGTTTACTGAAATGGAATTTATTTTTATCCAGTATATACTACTAACCTGAAGAGGTAATGTAAACACTACATACATTGGTTGGACACTGGAGGTGGAATAAACATAAGACAAAGTGTCATTCATTTTTAAAGGAAAAATCCTATAGAATCAAGGAAATTGATTTGAGCCTAAAATGGTTGATAAAATATTCTTTTTATAGGCTATGTAAACACTGTGATGCATCTACACTCATTTTTGATGATGTCAACAGGAAGAAACTTCTATGTGTTCAAGTAATACTGGTTTATGAATTATTATACCATTCTTTTCGTAAACTTCGATTCATCTTCCAATTAAACATTTGAGTCGTCTTTCAGTATTTTTGCAAGTTCTGGCGAAAAGTTCAGTAGAAATTATTCACATGATGACGCTTTCTCGACTCGAATTGAATGCAATTGATGAAACAATGATAACCACGTAGAAGGGGGTGAAAGTCTAGCTGAAGTTTACATTTTCTCAATAATTCTCACTTTTAGTACAGCTTTTTGACAAACGAGGCATTTAACAATCTACATACTTAGTTTGGATTCATCAGTTAAAATCTTTTTAGTTTTAGTAACTTTTTACATTATTAGTTTGACTGAGATAGCCATGGTTTAGCAGAATTGTATTGTATTGATACTGGCGATTTGAGCAAATCAATATTTTGTTGTCTGAAAAGACTGGCTCAGCTGTCTAGCCTCTCTGAGTTCTACATCATGCAGTCACCAATAGTCACGCTGAAATTCACTCAATCAGTAATGAAAACATGTCAAAATAGTCAATCGGAGCACATAATCCTGAGGCCGTAGCCATGCAGTGGACGGAAAGAAACCAACCCCACTCATAACCATCATGACAGAGTGATTCTCTACTTTTCTAGGTATTGCATAAGTTTGAAGATTCATCCGAAAATGTGATCCAGTATACAGTCAATTAAAGCCTGTTAACTAAACCACCCTCCTCAATTATAAGCAATTCTTTGTTCTACGGAAATTTTGTTCAGTCTTTATGTGACACTTTTACCAATGCTTCATGGTATCCAGTAGCTTTTGTGTGCTTACGGTTAGATAGTATTTTTCTTTCTTGATCATGATATGGATCTAAACTGTTTACTGAAAACACGAAATTTCAAAATTTCGAGTTTTTCTAAAACTCCGCGCCGGAAACATCTGAAATTTATTTTAGCTACTAATAAGTAGTTCAAAATGAGTGGATGAAATATAAGATTTCACGCTGTCCTTAAAAGTACAGTAGCTCTTTTCATCCTGGTCAACATATTGTTATTAAAGTATTTTTAACTTGTACTTATCAAAAAGTTGGACGTACAAATAGGTTAAAAATTTCAGTTTTTGACCGGTGACCACAAGTGAGTTGTACTTCTCAGAGTAAATTAGTGTAACAACGTAGTAGGCAAGTGCATGAATCAACGGGAGTTATTAACTTTCTTTGAAGATTGCTGATCCTGTTTGGCAGCCCAAACCTTAGTGAGTGGAGTAGGGTTCGAGATTGCGATCCGGATTTCTGCATATCTGAACCAGTGGGTCGCATGTTCACATTGTCAGACGTCGCTTATATAACATTTTTTTAACTGAAGAAATTTATATGATCTATTTGGTTCAATAGTGATATCGAAATGTTAAAAATAACTCGTGGAAAAGTGTCATTTATTGAGTAATCACTGGTTGTTAGAATGTGTTAGAACGTTGATGTACAGGCTGCATAAACAATAGACGACCGCGAACACCTGTGGATTGACTTTTCAACTAAGACTATTTTAAACAACCATTTTTGCTAATACCTGTTATGAAAAAGCTGTCTGCACTGCAATAGGTAGATATGGTTTTTGTGTTCATAGGGTTAATATCAGTGACTCACGTGATGAGGTGTTTCGGAATTTCACTACAGCTGAATATCCACTCTTTAATCATACCGATTTCGTAAGTTCTGAATTTCGTATGTCCGTACCTCATCCCTTCCAGGTTCATAACATAATAAAGCCAAGGTCACCTAGTGTTGATAGAAGAGTGAAACCGGTTGACTTTTAGTGGTTGCAGTGAGATTTTTGTGAATTTCCATTCAGAACACTGTACATATTTAAGAGACTTCAGAAAGATTTATATCTTCTGTTTCACACAACTGCAAAGAGACAGTCTCAACAATTGTTTGATATCATTATCGTAGAAGAAACTGATCTTTGGAATTCAATATATGTAAAGTATACTGGTTTAAAAAACAGAATTACCTATGCTAAATGTGCATTTAAACTAAGTCAGTGCTCTGGATTTCCAGCTGTTTACGGGTTCTGTTAATCACGTACCATAAGATTTTTAACTATTCATAGATGTAATATTCTAGCTCATTATTTGTGATAATGTGTTGAAATGTGTACAGTTTCATGGAATGAGTACACGTTGATTCCCTTTTGTTGAGAATCACCTGGAGCAAGACGGCATGTGAATAAACCTGTTCACTACATGTGATAACCTACAAGACAATTACAAGTCTTTTTTCTCCTGGGTATATTTAAGCTAACTGAGGATGCTCAGGGAGCACAATAATCTATTAGTTGTTCGATATGATTACTTTGGTTCACATTTTCAGTCCTCAACAATTCCTTATTTATCTGCCAATGCAATATGTATTATTTCTGTGCCGAAGCTCTCTATGAGTCTGAGAAATCATATATTATCATTTGACTCGGTAGTAACGTGTCCCGAATTCACATGGTAGTCAGGCGAAACCCATGGTGATTGAAGTGAAATAAAAATTTGGTCGGCAGTCGGATCTTGTGGCTTAATTGGTATAGCATCGGCCCAGAAACCCAGTGGCTGCTGATTTGAACCCGGATGCTGTCCAAATTTTCATTTCACCTCCAATCATCACACAGAATTAATCATAAATCCTCATTTAAAATCGAGAAAGCTGTCTACAGTCTAAACACATGAGTTTATTCTGTACTTACTAAATAGGAAAAGACAATAGTAGTATAAGGGTATAGTTGTTACGTAAGTGCGAGTGAAGTAAATAAAAGATGAGGTTGCATGATACGTTAGGACGTTTTTCATTACATGTGATATTTGTTTACAAATCAAATAATGCAATCAATGCAAGCTGTTTAGGTTGTAACAGCATACGCATGGTATCGAAACTGAGATAATTACCATTAAGCCTTGATTTCGTTCTGAAAACAGGCTAAGAATCTGATCTGGGATATCTCAGACTGGAAGAATGAGACAGTTATCTACCTTGGAGTAGTCTGTTGTGGGCAAAATACCTTCGAATTCATTAAGTTACCGAAGAATGGAGGCTTTGACATGTATGATGAAGATTAATAGGTACTTTTCGAAATAAAAAATTTCATTAGGATAGTCAGCTATCTCAAAGTAAAGGTGAAACATTTATCTCTAGTTAACTTCAAAAACTAGCGTACTTCACCTTATTCATGATCATAGAATTTAACTGACAAGGTGCGGTTATTTTTATACTGAGTAAAATTGATATTCTATCTGATTATTTCTATAGTACACAAAACTTCAACAAAAAGTATATGCTGAATAAGTACTCGAAGTTACTCAACGTTATGTATGCCTTGTTTACTTTGAAGTTGAGCTCAGAAATATGAGACCATATTAAGTCTGAATCGCAATAACTAACGTTTTTATGAACCTTAACCATCCTTTAGTAATATATGGGGCACATTCTCTAGAAATCTACTTACCAGTATTACTAGATATAATCGACGTTTTACAGAGGTGATGGTGAAAAGGTTTTCCTGTGAAAACATCTTTGTTTTTAAACAACAGTAATCATAGTAGTTATGATAATAATATTCGCTTCTCAATTATGATATCCTATTTTGTTTAAACAGAATCTTAACCTTTCAAGTGATGAACACTTTAATGATGAAAAAGTGATACATGAAACTAATGAGGCTGAGATAAGTGAATGGCCACATTCAATTGGACGATTAAAATCTGCTTTTCGTCATTTACCAATTCTTCGTGATTCAACACCTGGATATGCACCAATCATTTCACTTTTACTTTATACTATTTGTGCTTTGGGTTTGGCGTGTCTTTTATTACCAGGATCTCAATATATGCAAGAATCACGTTGGTGGGCAATACTGATATTTATTCTATTCTTGGTTGGAGCAATTTTCTTTGTGGTTATCATGTTCTTGCATGAACAAAACAAGTCTTTTGACAGTTTTAAGGTATGATTTCACCTTCAGGAGATTATAATTTTTTTTAAATACTCAAATTGGTTCTAAATTCTTTCACTAACTCTTTACACCACTTCTTAGAAATACTTTGACACTGACACGTATATTTATTTTATTTTTTAAGGCTGAATATATGGATAATATGTAGTGACGATTAGTTGGTGTGGATGTTTTATGTTATGGAAGCCGTGTGCAGTTGATGACACCATTGACATCAAAAATGTATCCTGAATGTAGAACACAGTCTAAAAATCATGGTGTCTAGAAACAAAACGAAATGTAGCTTATGGTCGTTCACTAATGCGTACCATGCTATGTAGAGTATTGTAGTTTGGCATTAACCTCCTTATAAGTCATACCCAAATGCATATTGAATTTTTGGAGTCTTTTTATTATTTGGAGATGTCTCACGATAACAAGCGTTTAAAAAATATGTGGACTTATAGTTTGAAAACACCCCACTCACTATAATTAAATGAACCTAATGTTTACAAAACATAATTCTTTCTGGTAAAGTTAAGAGGTATACTTCTCTGTTAAGTCTGTTTATTCTTGACTAAGTTCTAAACATCGCTCTTAGACCAACCTATTGTGTACGGAAACTGCAACCAACGAACTACAATGGTGGTAAATGGTACTCTTTTTTACATAGTAGAGACTATCTTTTTATGCAGAGAGAGTAAGTGGTTGGAAAGTGTTTTGCATTGCCGAACTATGACATAAAACCGTCCATCTAGTCTGGTTCATTGAACTACTGTCTAAAATGCAATGGACTGAATAAGGAATTCAAAAGTGACCTATCTTCATGAAATAATCGGTATTTACGGAATATATATGCAGTGATGTTCAATACGCTTAAGGTTTTAAAATATATGTAATCGAAGTTTGGTAACCTTCATTGGCTCCTTTTCAGTTTGGATAAAAGCTTACCAATATTTTAGTATTTGTTTTTCCTAATGAATATAAAACAAAATTAATTTATTTCAACTGACATTTCGCTATTAAATGCCATAAGCTTTATGAAAGTTAGAGTACACCAGAATTTCACAATATCCAAGCTCATGATAACTTGACAAGTGTTCTTCTACATGAGTGATTCTGTGTTGTCAAAATTGTAGAATAAACATGATATCTATACATCGTGTGCTGTGTGTGAAGAGTGTGTTGATTACAAATTGAGAGTTGTATGTACACATGTGTTGATAGTTCTTATCGTATTGTTGTTTATGTCAATATGCGGGGTTGGGTTGAGACCAGGTGAAACTATGCTTTACTCCCTCATTCCTATTTAGACAATTTTGGTTGGACTTCGGGTGAAGAGATTCTGCTATGAGACGTTATTTATAATTTCTGAAGCCTTTCTGAATAATTTTTGATACTGTCAAAATCGCCTTTGTGACCTGAAGTTATAGCATGTAGAGCTACGGCTGATGTGTTTTCAAGTTTTCTCGGTTCCACTGGATTTCTGGGGGGTCGTATGGAAGCTCTTCTTCGGTACTCATTTTTTCTCATCTTGATTTGATTTTGGTTCTGATTTTTTAAATTCACACTCCAATTGTGTTTATAAAGTAAAATGCTCAGACTAAGATGCAATATACATAGGACGAACATCCGGTGGGATCAAGATGAGAAAAAATGAGTACCGAAGAAGAGCTTCCATACGACCCCCCAAGAATTCCAGTGGAACCGAGAAAACTTGAAAACACATCAGCCGTAGCTCTACATGCTATAACTTCAGGTCACAAAGGCGATTTTGACAGTATCAAAAATTATTCAGAAAGGCTTCGGAAATTATAAATAACGCCTCATAGCAGAATCTCTTCATCCAAAGTCCAATCAAAATTGTCTAAATAGGAATGAGGGAGTAAAGCATAGTTTCACCTGGTCTCAACCCAACCCCGCATATTGACATAAACAACAATACGATAAGAACTATCAACACATGTATACATACAACTCTCAATTTGTAATCAACACACTCTTCACACACAGCACACGATGTATAGATATCATGTTTATTATTTGTCCCTTGGGTTCCTAGTGGAACATAGGGCTTCAGTAGCACGTCTCCAGTGCACTCTGCTCTCTGCAAACTTTTGAACCTAGATCCAGGACAGCCCACAAGCTCTCATTTCTTCCTCACATGATCTCCATGTCACTCACGGACTCTCAACTCGTCGTTTCCCATCTGGGTTTCACTCGAGGGCCTGACGCTTGATGTCGTTGAATGATCTTCCTTCTACATATTTGTTATGCCATAGGTTGTTGGTTGGTTTGTTGCCTGGCCAGAGTTTCTTGCTACTGATTCTTTCTGGCCATCTGAGCTTCAGTATCGAGCGTAGGCAGTTGTTGATGAATGTTTCTAGTTTGTTGGAAATGCTTCACGTAACACGCCGAGTCTCCCAACCATCACATAGAAGCACTGACTTGACTGAATTAGTGTTGCAAATCTGAATCTTGTTCTTTATGCTCAGTGCTGAAGATCTCCATACTGGTTTCAGGTTAATGAAAGTCTGTCTTGCTTTTCCGATCCTGGCTTTGACGTCCTCGTCTGTGCTGCCTGTAGTTGAAACGGTGCTGCCTAGATAGGTGAAAGAGGCTACTTCCTTTAGGTTTCTTCTGCTGATGAGGATTAGAGCTTGTTGTTGTTGGTGGTGGTGTTGGTTGGATATCTTCATCACCTCTGTTTTCTCTGCCTTCACTTGAAGTTCCGTCTTCGCTGCCTCGCCTCTCCTGTCAACTTCTTGCTTTTGCCTGTAAATCTTCAAGTTTGTGTGACATTAGACACAAGTCAGGCATGTTGCTCGACATCTCCCATTTTGTCTTAATGGATGACGTGAAGATTTCCTTTGTGGTTTCTTCCTTCAGTTGCTGTTCTGGGTGTTGAACATGAACTGTGGTCTATCATCACCAGCTTCTCTGAAGACTTTCAACTTGATTTTGAAGCTTCCTTGCACTGGATATTACGTGGTCCGAAACTACATCTACTTCCCTTCCCTGATGTTGTGTCCAGTAGGCTGAGTCTCCACTTTCTTCACATTGAGATGAAGTCGATCTGATTTCTAGTGTAGTGTGTCTGGTGTTTGGTGAAATCAAATCCATATCGGTCGCTTTGTGGATGTCCTCGTGCTTGAACACAGTGCCTCCAACCACCAAATCGTTGAATGCGCAGAATTCCTGTCAACAATTCCCGTTCATTTCATCGAGTGCTTCTCTACCCATGATGAGTTCTCTTCCTGTGTTGTCCGCTCCCAGTTTGGCATTCATGTCACTGATTAGAATTTTGATGTCGCCACCTGGGACGGGGTCCCGTCTAGTGTTGATTGCAGTTGTTTGTAGAATTCCTCCTTCTTCTCTTGATATGCATTATTTGTAGCTGCGTAGCGTAGCATTTTATGATTGTGACTCTCCTTCCTTTTGAGTTGAATCCATCTTGCTGTCATGATCCTGGAGGAGGAGATTGGTTCCCACTGCATGGGAACCTTCGATGCTCTTAGCGACATCATGATAGCCACTCGAAATTTCAGTGGGCTCGTGGTTGTCGTCTGTGTGACGATATCGGAGTAGATTACTGACTCTCCAGTTGGCAGTTTGGAGAGTCCACTTCCATTCCATCTGCAGATTCCTAGCACTTCTGTGCCATACCTTCTCATCTGTTTTGCAACCTGACCAGACTTGCTAGGTTCAAACATTGTTCGGACATTTCATGTTCCTATGTTTACTTTGCTTTGATCGGGAGAAGAGAAGACACATCGGCCAATTGGCTTTGTGAGTGCTTTCACCAACTGGCGTCATTTCACCTCTCTGATTCCAGTGAGGGATAAGTTTGTTTTTGTGTTTTATATTTTGTCTGTGCTTTGAAGTTTCTGTAGTGGTTGGATTGATTTTACGGTGTAGGGTTTCTGGCCGTATGCCCAACCTTCCGTGTTTGCCCGGACTTAGGACCGGCTAGTAACTAGTGAACTCGTTAACTAGGAGAGGTTTCTGAAGGCTTTGCTAGAGTATTATTCAATGTTAGTTTTAATATATAATAAATCCAACATATAATAATATTTCACTTTATGATGTGTAGTGAATTAGTTAACCAGGCGAGGTCAATATATATATGCTTGGATATTGTTAATTGCGGTGTACTCTAACTTTGGTAAAGCTTATGGCATTAAGTAGCCAAATGTCAGTTGAAATAAATTTATTTTGTTTTACATTCATTAGGAAATGCAAATACGAAAATAATGACTATCACTTACCGAATGCTAAAATCTTTTCAAACCATCAAATCCTAACTTAATTTAACGTCATGCTTTGTTGTCATCTTGCATTCACTTTTCAGACATTTATAGTATGGTCTAATCTGATATAGGCAGAAATACCGTCCATTCTGGTTGTTTTTAAAGCGAAAAAATGAAAACATAGAATCATGCCTCATGTAAAACCTCTAATTTCTTTACAAGGATCACCTGATTACTTTTCATGTAGTAAAAATCAAACACCTGTGAGCAACAATAATGATAAACTATGAATTTAGAATGACCGCAAGCTTTAATATGTTACTTTTGTTCAAACTTGTCTTTGTCGTGCTGCTGCTGAGAACTCGAAACCATACACTCTTATCTCAGTCACCCTACAACCGTTTTATAATATATTACTACGTAATTGACAGAGTTATTTATATTATAGTTATAAAGTTAAATAGTAACGTTGTGAATATAAGTACATGTCATTTTTTGATCCATAGAACATTCTGTATTTCTGATTGACGGTTTGACCGGTGTTACTGGTTGTAACTTCGGTTTGGGTTTCCTGTTGGGTCTATGATCAATGAACTGAGAGCAATGCCAATTACTGGTCGTAACTCGTATTATTCCCAGAGTTACTATGTGCGAGTTGATACTACAGCCACTAATGTCACACCGGTCTATTCAGTGGGAAGACAGTTAGATCATGAGTCCACACAATTACATTGTGTGTAACAAGATATATAGAAAATTTACTAGGCCTTAAAATCGTAGGCAGCCTGATAAGAATGTGAATGAATGAGAAACAAAAACGAACATGTGGACATTCGTGACTAATTTCCTGTTCCAATCATTCTTATGGTTACGTATACGACGGAATAGATAATTAATAATTACTTATTACTCTCTATAGTATTCCACTAGAATTCTGCTTCTATGAGTTATCCTAATGGTGTTGGCTTATAAGTCTAGTAAATTCAAAATAAGTATTAAAAAAATAACATCTGTAACCTTGTTAAACTTTATTCTTTAGAAGCCTTAAGTATAAGTTTGCATAGGAAGCAAGTTTTTATTGCTGTCTGGGGTTCAAATTGACCGATGTTTCCACACTGGGGGATTATATCGATTCTCCAAACCATCAAGCTGTAATTATAGTCAGTCCTTTCTGAATAGCAGATCGCTAGCACAAATCAGTAGCGTGGTGTATGACCTTGTGGTATGGTTTGTGGGTTGGGATCTCAATCAGTATTCATTCATTATAATACTAGCAAATGTATTCAGTGATTCCGAAGCATGATGAAACGCATCCATTGTTAGCAATTACTGGAAAATAATAAAGCATTTACTGTTATTAACAAGTTTTAGTGAATTTCAGTGTCTTTTTTTGTTCTTTTGTTAACAGGTCCCATTTGTTCCTTTGATTCCCTGTTTGTGTGTTTTCCTCAATTTCTGTCTCATGGTAAAGTTGTCACCAATGACATGGGTTCGATTCACTGTCTGGTTGGCTATAGGTAAGATTTTCAATAAATGCAACTTCATTTTATTCATATGTTTATTTTATGAACTTCTTGTTTGAACTTAAACTAATGAAAATAAAATAGTCTGGAGCTATATTCAAATAATTTATTAAAGAATAAACTAACGGTCAGTTAGTGACTTTCAAGACCTGATTACCTTGGAGTAGGTTATTTTATGTCGAACTGACATTAGTTGAATATTCTTTGGAGATGAGGTAGAATTAATCGAACCAAAGATTTTATTCATCGGTTGTTACACAGTTTGCTTACTTCTTCCGTAATGAACGCATAATTTGATATCTCTCCACCGGCGCAACTGTTAAGCTACTGTAAACCAAAATATAAACTCAGTTTTGTTTGGTTTTTTTAGATTTATTTTTCAATATGATGATTATCTCTTTCACCTTACTCACAAATAGGGACTGTGCATTTATCTATGTTTTCTGATTTAATGTTGAGACACAGATTGAGACGAAATATACCCATGAGTTTCATTGATCGAAAACACATCACTTGTAGGTTTTGATATTGGAATTTTTCATTACCAGTGTATAAAAAAGCTTTTCACCTTTGTTTTGTTTCCTGTAATTACTTGAATGGCATCCTTTTGCGGAAAAAACTAGCTTTGATTTATGGAATGGAAATTATATTTTCTTTACTTAAAACACAAACTTGGTAAAAACATGGGTACCAAGGGAGGTCCTATACAAAGCAGCGTTAATAAGACATAGGGAAGTGAAGAGAGATTAAAAACAAATACGCAGGTGGATTATAAAGAAGTGGTTTCAAAGATATGCCTTAAAACGGACTCACCGTTTTCTTTAACTTCTCATCACTAGAAGAAACAGAAAAACTGCAGCATGATTGCCACTAGTTTCGATTCACAAGTATATCTGCTATTTCATCAATCCAGATAAGTTGTATGACCTCTCGGACCGCATCCAAAGAGTCATGAGGTAATTACACATGCTGAATTAACGGGACTTTCCTTCATCTTATGAAGTCACATCAGACACTGATCAAGTCTTCAGTTGTTCTGACCAGAATTAGAGCAAGTTAACGGTGTAGAGACCGATAGGATAGATGTGTAGCGCATGTCCAAGCCACCAAATTCAGTTTTTCAAGATTATCTGACTAAATGAAAGACGATCTCAGCTATGCTCTAACACACGCCACCCTACCTCAGATTTACTTACACAGTGTTTTCACCAAATGCAAGCAATCCTCTAAAGATAACGATAACTGACAACATAGACTTGTCGAATATACTCAGCTTGGAGAGCCCAGGTTTCACAAGTGTAGAGTAGAACTGTCCTCACCAGTGCGTTGAAACCCAGCCGCTCAAGGTGGCCCACGTTAGCACATGCCACACCGGTTTTCAACATACAGTAAGAAATTTCATCAGTCACTTCTTCACTAACACACAACCACCCAAGTCCACAAATTTTTCGACAACTGACAACTGTTCGCCACCAAGGATGAGTGCAGGTATTAACTCCTTTCAACCTCGTAGAAGCATTAAAACGGTGCAAAGCACATAGCATACTTTAAGACGTTGATTACTAACTGATTAGGTGCGATTTGACTAGCTTGTATGTTGTTCCACAGTAAAACGATGTCGCGCAAATATTCTAGTTCAAAAATGGTCCCACCTGATAACTGCTCTACACCACCACATACCTGCATCATGGCTTTCGTAAAAATCTCACTTGTGGAAAAGTAAAAGAAGAATAGTGATATCGGACAACCTTATTCAACTTCAATATTGGTTTGTAACGATGTAGTAAGTTGCTGTGAGCCTTCACTCTACCTTTGAAGTTAAAGTATATGAGTATTCAAACTTTAGCGAGTTTATAGGGATACCCGTACTTTAAAAGATACTTCCAGAGTTCAGCTTTTTCGGACTCTTTGAAAACAGCCCTAAAAGTGAGGAATATAACGACCGCTACCGTGCAAAACTTGTGGCAGTCTTTCAGCATCTGGAGGAGGATGAACATGTGAATAGTCCACCCATGACCTGGCATAATCTTCATGGATGAGATTCTAACTCATTTCTCACAGCTTGCAGGGCATAATATTAGCCAAAACTTTAGACTCTAACAGTGATCATAACAGGCATTACATAGAACCTTTTTAAAAAATGAATACGATGATGGCTTAATTCCAATGTGATGAAAGTCTACTATATCTTCTCAAACAATACAGTCAGTACCTTAACTACAGTCTAATCTTGATCCCTAAAAATACCGGGGAATAGGTCATCTGGACTGGGTGCCTTGTAGCGATTCAGAACCCAGAGTTCCTCACAGACTCACTTTTCGTTGAATGGGTCCATGTTAACCGATCATAGAGATCAAGAAATCGAGGTTGATGTTGCCCGAACAAAAGGCCAATTGAACTGCTTTCCGAAGCACTCTACCCAGCGTTCAAGATGTCCATGAAAGTTGGTGGTCGGCGTACCATGTACTTCATCGACCAGCTCACTGACACGAGGCTTCTTGCTGCTAAGAGTTTGGACGAGCTGAAGCAGCTTCAGATACAGCTGTTGCTTCCATTTCACTCACATTCTTCATGTAAGTCCTGGGTGGTCTATCAGTTAGGGAACGTACGCCCACCACTGTATTCACCACCTGCAGGAATACACTGATGAGCTTCAATAAGTTGCAAGAAGCTTTGATAGGACCAGTGTTATTGGTGGGACGTTTATCAAAACAACAAGCAACTTTACTTACTATTTTCTTGATATTTTGTAAGTGCTCATCTACTTTTTCAAGAGGTTTTGAAGCCAGCACTGAATCGGGCTTAATTTGGTATTTAGTTGTGACAGTAGCTGCAACCAGATTGGTGACGTCGACTCATTTGAAACGATGATTTCGATTAATACCGAGATGCAAGGTGAACTCAGCACACAAAACAACATGAACAGAATCCAGACAATCGGTCCAGAAGGATCGGAAGTCCATAGTACACATGCGCCATCAGTAGCTGATTGCAGTACGATGTGTCCAAGTCCAGGTTTGAGTGGGAAAAAGGGACGCTAGGTAACATAACAATAACAGTTTTGTTGAAAATTGGTGCTGGCTAGATCCATGCAAAGCCACAGAAGACGTTCCCTGTTTTTTGAACCGCAACCTACTAATTCCCGTTAGGCATCTGAATGAGCCTCTTCTTTACCTAAACCCTATACCTGTGTATTTATATCTCTAGCTGGCACTAAAACATCTGTTGAGCGCCCATGGATGAGAAGGTCACTCACTTGGTGGCAGATCGCATCAAGTGAATCTTGGTTGAATTCAGGGCATAAGTTGAGATGGTGAAGAGACTTAGTTTACTTTCGCAGCTACTTCCCACTCCAAGTGAATGTTTCCAGCCTATTGTCACACAGAAGATTGTTGACAGGGATCCAGTGGATTAGTACTGTTTAAGTTGTGACACTCACTGTGACACCAACACCAGCAAGACCGACTGTCGATACCACAGGGTTCCTCGGTTGGCATATCGTAACTATAGTTTTTGAGCAGATAGGTGAGAAACCTATTTGAAAAACTTTGGTGGAATTCTGTGTGCGGGCTTCTGAGACACACCAGACATCAATAGCAAGAATTTTAGGAGTCCTAGCCAGACCCATCTGTTGTTCAATATGCAACAAGTTCCGAAAGTTAATGGTTACTAGCTGAAACGGTGCATGGGATTACAGATTATTTATATCAGATATCGCACTGAATGACAACTTTCTGAAAGTAAATATTTAGAGATTCAAACGATAAAAACAGATAAAAATTTTATTCACTGATGAGCAGCTGAATGAAGCAAAAATGCACATGAAGATAAGTTTCAAAATGATAACAAGTAGACAATGTTGTTTAGATGTTAAAACATCAACAACATAAAGATAATAAGTTGAATAAGGGAGTAACTTGTTCGTCGCAGGAAGATTTGATGAGTCTATTGTGTACTTTATTATTGATACTGATTTATAATTTGCATGTGGGCTGTGACACTCCTCGGATCCCGATGAGGCAGGTGGTTGTCTTAAGGAATCGCTCCTCGAGTATTTGACTTGAACTCCGATCTACAAAGCGACGGAGAAAGGTGAGTTGTTGTATTTCCATGGCTACCGGTGACTAAGGTAGGTTCATATGTCATTCATCCGTTTCGTATCATGGAGCCCACGTACACCAATGGTTCGGAATCAGGGTTTTCCAACTCTTTAGGTGAACCGTCTCTGTACACTAATTCTGTGATGACTTTTATAGAAACAACCTGTACGATGGGAAGGGAGTGAATTGGGATTTCCTGGTGGAGACTGTGAATGCGTGCCTATTTTACAGCATATTGAGAGCATTGCGGGGATCATATCACCATAAGCCATACCAAAAATATTTGAAGAGGCGAAAGGACTTTAGCATATTTTTATTAAGATGTTCTATCTTACACACCATCGGCCGTAAGCTTCTTTTCATTCTGTCTGTGTTATGTAAATATCACTTACATTCGGACTGAGCGGGAATAATTGATAAAGGAAATAGGTGAATTTTTAACGAGAAGAAATTAGTGTAGCAAAACTGTACATTAGGCTTTTTTGCAAAAATGCCTGATATTAAGTCTCGTATTATTGAGTGGTTATCATCAAGGGCTTCAAAGAATGAAATTGTTTAAACGTACGATAATTTGCTTAAGTTTCATTCTTTAAAGAAGCGATTTCTATGAAGTCTCGAAACGGCAGAAATTCATTTCTCTACCTCATTAGGATTGTATAAATCTACTTCATTTATAAATGACCTTGGGTTAATATTTCGTTCCATCAGGAAATAGTACTGGTCGTAGGCATACTTTTACCATGGATACCAGTACCCAACTGATAGTTGTCTAGATTATGAACTGAAAAATATTGGGCATATTTCAGTCATAAATTTGAAACTATAATGGTATTTAAGTAAGTTTCTTACTCTTTTGTTATCTCAGAGTTGACAGATTTAAGATAAATTTTTCAAAGTGTACTATCATTTTGCAGCATAAAAAGTGCTGCCTAAATTTTAAAACTTTCAAATTCTTCGTATGACTCTCTATAGGTTTGATCATATACTTTGGATATGGATGGCGGCATAGTGTTCATGCCAGGGATCCAGAAGAGTCAGGAAAACTAATCAAAATTCCTAAAATGGGCAGCTTTGATGATGTTATTGCAAGTCCAGGTTTCGAGCCATTACCTAAGAGTTATGAACAAAGTGAGGAATAATTTCTGGAAGTCCTTCGATGTTGTCTGAATTTGTTATTTGTTTTCTGCTTGACTGGTTTCGATCAAGTATTTTCTTCAATGATGCATATAAGATTATATCGTCATCTCTACAGATTTATTGTGTAACAAATCAACTAATTTATCATTTAAATATTTAATACGTCGTGATTGTCCCTGCTGAGCATGTTGTGCGTTTTTAAATAAGTGATTTGAGAACTGTGAATATGTCTGTCTTTGTCCTACAAGTCTAAAATAAAAAACAAGTCAGTAAATTACAAAAGAAAACAAAGTGTTTTGGAAAACTTTTGTATGAAGATCTCAGTAACTATGCTTTCCTCCTATAAATATATTATATTTCACTGTCACAGTTAAGTTTAGTGATAATAAGACAGGTGTCTATTGTTATGGAAACATTTGCCAAATAGTCAAGTGAAACATTAGCGTTCACATTAATTGGTTTTTCAGGAGTTGATACAGTTTTTTCTACGCCAATCTAATACAAGTTCTACTCAAACATAACTTAAGTCATCCATTAAGTTAACACTTTCGTTATAATTGACTCAAATCTCTTGGAATCTTGTGTTTTAAAATCGAATTGTGAATTGATTGAATGGCTCTAAAGGCCACCTTAACAACTACTGAAATAACCAAAGAGGTATCTGTATTTCATGAAAAACTGCTTGGAGTGACTTAGTGGCTAACAATAACTATACGAACGGGAATAACGCGATGAAACACTTGAACTAAATATAAATGGCTACTGTTCTCCCTCCTAACCTTATACCTCAATGAGCCGAGAAAATCAGAAGATAAAGACCGGCCTATGACTGTAAAGAAGGCACTTTATTCGACAAAAAGACATCATTTATATATAGTTCTCATGAACATATGGAACCACTAGGTCAGACGTTGTATACTCATTTTGATTGGTCAGTTGTAGGACAAACTTGTCCAATAATACTTTTTATGATCACACTGTAACATGAAACCAAAGTTGAAATCTAAAACTTCTACCTTAGTGGCTGATGATTTTATAATAATAATAATAATAATAATAATAATAATAATAATAATAATAATAATGGCTTTATTCTGAACAATATGCATATTGTTCAAACATGTTTGATATATTATAGAATTCTCAGCATGTTATAAAATAAAAAACTCTCAAAACGATATTTTGAAACAAAATGATTTTAGTATCTGAATGATGTTCATAATAACAGCATCAAAGGTAATAATGTTAAGCAGTCGCTTTGTCCTGGATTACCGTCCAATGTTTAGAGGTTCATTCAGCCAGTAGAAGAACGTACTACTCGACACAGATATCCGAAGAAAAGAAATATGATATATTTTTGTGCATTCAGAAGTCCATTTCCTTCTAATATGACATTTTTTCTTCTTTTTGTTATTACTTCGAAAAACAAAAGTTCAGAACATTTTAAAAATCCCCAAGAGTACGTTATATGTTATACGAGCTACTATAAACCAATTGATTTCTTCGTGATCGTTTCTAGATCTTGAGAAACGGTCCCAGGTCTTTAGTAGATTCCGATGCAGTAGGTCTACCCACTTGCCTGCTGTAGCTCTGGCTAGTCCGATGGGCAGTTGGCTGTTGATTAAATTTGTAGTGACTGTGTGGTTTTTCCAAAGCATGTGGTGCAGATGGGCTCCACAAGTATCATGTCACCAGACAGTTAGTCGGACTGGAAGGATAGAAAAGATATTCAGAGGAATCAAAGAAGAGGAAGTGCAAAGAAAAAGAAAAAACGACAAGGTGAAAGGAAGTGAAACGGAATGGAAGGAGAAACCTAGGTAGATTCATAGGAGATAAGTGATAGGGAGAAATTTAATAAATAATGTAGAATGACAGAATCAGAGGGAAGAGAAGGAGTGAGTAAGATTTTAGGACAGGTTATGGGGATAGAGATAGTGATACTATCAGTAGGGTATGACAATTGGAGGAGACGTCCAAAGGGACTCATTAGCTGGATATAGCTGCTTCCCATTGAGGGATCGTGTTCCCACCAAGACTGAAACCCAGGACCAATCGCTTCAAACTCTAGAGCGGTAACCACCAGACAGGAATTAAGAAGCAATAACGTAAAAAAAGAGATGAGTGCAAACAGGAAAGTTTGCAGTGTTAGTGCCTAGAAATGTATGTTTTATGGGAACCAAAAGAAACCAGTCAAAAATCAGGATTACGAATCAGTTATGTATACATAACATGTATTGTGTACGATAAAAGACGGCCGGCTAGAATTAGAAGTCGATTTTGAAGCAGTGGTGTTGTCTGCACGGATGAGGTTTTGATCCTAAATTGATCAAGGTATTCCTGGTGTTTTGTTTTTAAACGCAGCCAGTTTTAGTCAATAAGTTGACAAGTAGCTGTTCCTCATATATGGCCAGATTCTTCCTTGTAAGATCCGACTGCAGAAAAGTAGTCACTCTTACGGTATTTACAAGTCTTTTACCGGCATTAGAGCAAATAAATACCTATTTCCAGGATCTAAAACTCCTTTTAATTTGCTACGAAGGGTATTTGCATTCATTTGTAATTGTTTTAGTCGCAGTAAAGGTTGTATATAAAGACTAGTTAGTGTAGGAACACGGATCGTAAACGCACCATCCATTTAAAGAGTTTGTTGTGTCATGATAAGTTAATGTAGCAAAATTGCTATATTATGATGCACTTGAGGTTTTCTCCCATTGTCGGTCTGATTTTGAAAGTTAATGCAGGCTGTGATATACCCCCCTTGAATACATTCGATTCTATCAGTCAGCTGGTTGTTTGTAAGTAAAATCTTTTATGTTGGTGGTTGCTTGATGGTATATTAGTTGAAACCGAAAAGAAGAGCAGATTCATAAACTGACACAATCCTCGGTTGAAACTGACTACATATGAAACACCAAAATTTGAAATTCTTCATTCTAGGATTAGTGCAAAAGTAATCTGCGCAGCACTATTGTATGCTCTGCAACCGTTTTTGTGTTTGCAGAAATAGCTGATCACTGTAGGAATGTTGGAATTGGTAAGGCAGCAAAGATTTGAACTCGTTAGGAATGTCTTTTAAGTAAATAACCTGATACCCTTGTCCGTGAAATCAAGAACCAGTCCATCTTATCAAATCATAGTAAATTCTTAGGAATGAAAACTCCTGCATTTGGTTTGATGGCCACTTCTCATAAGTGAATATAACAGGGAAATTGTTGTGATAAAATGCCTCAGTTGCTTATATTGACAAAGAATTTATTTGTATCAGTTGAATCAATAGAGAAAACAGGTTAGGTTTTCTTATTTCTATTTCATGCTGATTGTTAATTGATTTGTGTCATCCTACTAGAGTTAATCGATATGGTGTGAATCTGCTTCTTTTTGATATACTGACCAATTTACGTCGGTTTTGTACATTTAGTCAGAAACTATGCTGACGTTTTTCTTTGTGAACTGGACATTCGAAGCAAATTGCTGTATATGATTCACTTGTCTTACTTCTCCAGAAAAATGAATGTCTGAGGAATAAGCCAATATACATCATAATGGTTTTGACTGGTTGAAACACCAAAATCGCAGCCTTGTAAAATATGACTGAAACATTTTAAAGAAAAGTATGTAGCTACTTTTTCTCTCTGTTTGAGGTTGGTTCTTATTTTACACGAGACAGGCTATCATTACGATGGCTTGTTTTTTTGGTCGAAGTAAAATACCTTTGCTTGTTAATTGATAAGAACTAGGATGAAAATCTACGTAAAGGAGCAGCATGACATTGGACTAAGTGATTTCGATATTCTTAAAACCAACAATCCGTCTTCGATAAAGCTGGCGTTTCTATATTTATCTTCATATTTACGTGATAAGTGATGTAAAATGGGTACCCATGAACGGGTGGAGCATATGTAGCAAGCAAATGTTTCGAAAAAACAACGGTTTGCCATCTGGTTGGCGCTTGAGTATATTAAGTTGGTAATCCAAACTTTTAACCGAGTAACTTAATTCTTGGGATAAATATTATACCCTTAAATGTCAAATTATGTTACGAGAAAAATGAACTTATCTGAATTTATATTTGTCTAATTTTTTGACGTATGATCAGAAAACAATCGATAAATTCAGAGAGGAAATTGACTTGAAACCTCCATTGCCTGTGAGGTCTGATTAGTGCCTCAAAATAAACAGCATCTGAAAGACATAAGCAAACCAAAAATCTAAATGTCTTTAAACCAGTTATCTCTTCCTTGTCCTTATCACTAACCACATTTTGATGTTACCTCATAGTAGGCCAATTATAGCGAACACGGCAAAAAGCATGTTCAAAGGGAGTCAGATACTAGTAGACAACCGTTATACTATTGAGAACTGCGCCTTCATTGGGTTGAAGTCAATCATTGTCTTCCTTCACCTTCATGTATATTGAAGGTACCTATGAGTTTATGGACAGATGAGTGGTAACCAGCGTCCAAATTCTAACTTACCAGTGGCTAATTTATTATTTTTGAAGGTGCTGGAGCTTGATGAGAACTATTCTGGTCTTGCACTATTATCCCATGATCAATGGTAAACAATATGTCTTCTGTCTGATGACTGTACTGTACCTCCCTGGTGCCAAAATACAACTAGGATTAAAATAAATGGATTAAATTGAATTAACTAAATATTAACTAAATAAACCTCTAGGTCACCTCCGGATGCTTAAGATATTCTAAGTTTTGTTTTAGCGAGCATGCATCTGAGCAGGCTTCGATGCCACTTTAGGCTCCCTTTGTACTGGTTAACAAGCACATCATCACAGTCCCCAGTTTAGCTATACCAGCCAGGTAAGTTGGATAGAACTTTCCCCTAATAATTACTACCGCATTTATTCTAGTTCGATATATTGCTGCTTTGAATATATTCCTGAATACCAGTCCTTTTCAGTTGTGTTTCGTTATCAGTACTTACACCTTAAGTAAGTCCTGACTAGGCAGTTACTAGAGCACACAGAGTTAAGTAGGGTTAGTTA